CTTTTACCTATCTTTTAAAAATTATTAAAAATAGTATTAATATCTCTCTCTCTCTCTCTCTCTCTCTCTCTCTCTCTCTCTCTCATCCAAAATCGAGTATTAATTTTATATTTGAACAAAATATAATCTTCAGAAGATATTACATATTTAAAAGAATATAAAATAACAATAAGTTTTTATTTTATTAAGTTAGATCTACAATTTATTTTTAGCTCCAAAATGTGAGGGATGAGAAAACTAGCATGACGTCCTACGAAATACCACCTGCGCCTAAACCTTTCACAGGCAGGTCCTCACCGGCATCTGGGTATTCCCCATCACCGAGTCTTTCTATCGCGTGCGATCTTGATCTCCGACAAACACAGTCACCATCCAAAGCCAATGATAACGAGTATTACATTGCGTTTCCACCGTCGGGATTACCTGTTCATGGTAAATTAATAAAATCTAATATTCTCATTCCTATTTATTTCAAACGTTATTTCTAATTATTCTGAGCAGTATAGCAATTGAAAAAGAATATCCAAAAACTCGAGCATTGTTCAGATGTCTCAACAGTATCTTATAAATATCCTTTAGTTATTAAAGATGCACTTAGTCACTTAGACAACTACATTTACAGAAATAATTAAGATCTCAAAAATAAATAATTTTCAATTCAACTTTCACAGCGTTTAAAACGGACGGTTCTCCGAGGGAACCAGGTACGCCAAGTTCACCATGTGAACATCCAATGAATAACAATTACGATTTCGTCCAAAACGTCGCCGTCTCATCGGATAAACGCCAGGAAGAAATCGAAACGACGAAACTTGCTAGTAACAATAGCTACACGAATATCGATCCGACAGCATTGATTTTCACTCCAATCGCACCGCCGGGAATGTGCATCCCAGACTACACTGGTAACGAATCGACGTCCAACGATTCTGTTCACGTGGATCGGGAAACCGTGGAAGAACACATTAATGATACCGTCGAGGCGTGTCCCAACACCGCGAAAGTGAAGCCGCCGTTCGTTCAATCTGCCGTTGACGAGGTTGACTCTGCGCTCGCTGTTCGAGGTCAAGAGACTGCAGAGACAGTACGCAATGAGGAACACGTACCGACGAACTCAGCAAACATTTCGAAAAACATGAATGAGGTCACCGAGACTAAAATGCCAGAATACATGAACCTTGCTGTTAATATGAGTCACGATGCTGTCAAGGTTCTCGGCGCCATACCAAAGAAGTTGCCTGCACCACCCGTGCCACCGCGAGGTGCAACTTTTCATACCGTATAATTTCACACGACTTTTATAATGCGAAGGCAAAACTAACCGATCAAGTCAATAAAAGTATATAAAGATATTAAAATGTGAGACATAACAACATTCTTCTGTTTTTATTACTTTTTCTAAATTTCTCTTGTTTCATTCTTGCAATGAAAGAAATCACAAATTTTATTTTAAATAAAATTTATTTAAAATAAAATTTGTAATAAAATTTTATAAATAATTGCGCATTAACACAGTTATTAAGAATAAATGAAATTAATTAAGCTCTTTTTCTAAACTGATATTTGTATTCAATCTAAGATTAGCATATTTAAATAAGCTTTAAAGCTTTTGAAATGTGTAAAATAAATCATTGAACCGTTGCAACAAATTTCAATACTGTCCTTTAGGAATTATTTCTTGCAAATTAAAGATCAAGAAAAAAGATTACGGGAATTTCTGATGAGTCGTAATTGAAAAACATATTAGTGACTCATACGAATGTAACTGCGAGAGAAAAATCCTTATTTAGTGACTTTATCCTCAAAGCATTTGGAAAACTGCAAAGTTATTTATATATCACACATTAACATATAGACTAATCAAATCATTTGTTAGAATACGAATTCTATCAATTTTCTTAATGCTATAATATACAATGCACCATTTTATAATTTTGAAAAATAATGAATAAAAAAGTTATACATTTCAATTACGATGTATAAACATACACGTAATAATCTCAACGTAAAAATATTATAATTAAAATAGAGAATACATATAAAAAATAAATATAATTACACATGTACGCAAGTTTTTTTTCATAATTATAGATTATTTTATACCAAATCCGTTTTCGATGAATTTTTACTACCTATTGTAATTACGACTGAGAAGTAAAAATCAGAAATTGAAACGTACATATAAATATTTGTTGATAAATTTTTATGAACATTATATATCATGTCTTTTATGCTTAAAAAATCACAACAAATAATAATAAAATATCATTATGATTTTTTAGACATAAAAGACCTGATATATATATATAATGTTTATAAAAACTTATCAAATATTTATATATACGTACGTTTTAATTTCTGATTTTTACCTCTCAGTTGCAATTACAATAGATAGTAAAATTCATCGAAAACGGATATGATATAAAATAATCTATAATTATAAAAAAATTTGAATATTTATTTATAACCAAAATTTATAAGTGTCTTATAATACTCGCAATAATTGTATGCGGCATAATATACGTATGTACCTATACAGAAAGAACATTTAAATCTAAAAATTTAGCTAAATACAGATCTGAAAATAATTTTATTGGGTCATCAAAATAATTATATAGAACACTTAAGAGTTGATGATAATGCTGCAAAAAAGTTCAACGTTCTCAGCAATCAGTTTGAACATTCTATAGAATTATTTTGATGGAATTATTTGATTTAAATAAAATTATTTAGAAGTGTTGATTTATATTTAGTTAAATTTTTAGATACTTCAGCGTAAAACTGTTCTTTTCGTGTATAAAAGTATAATCATGTTAAGAGCGAGACAATGGTTATCGCTATTACCGTTGATAAATCTTATTTTTATTATATATGCAGTGAGAATTCATATTCTCAAAAACATATCCACCCGTCCGATATTAATCATGCAAGCTAATAATGTTAATTCGATTACTCTCTTCAAAGATTAAAATATATCAGAGTTAATTATATAATACGTCCATTAATTTCGGGATACATGACGTGATTCAAACTAAGATCGTAAGCTGTATAATAAAACGAGTATTCTTAAATCCTACGTACACAAGGAACATGATAGATATAAAAAAAAGATTAAGTAACCAGGAACGTAAATGAAATTTAATACAAGGGTATCAATCGTTAATATAGAAAAGAGAAAACAAAGAATACAGACGAGCATAAAAATTTATGATATGCTTCTTTATTTATTATTACGCATTGTATATACGGTGTAATATATACGATGTGTACGTATAAATCGACAACGTGTCATGCTTGTCTTACTATTCGTTTGCATAACAATAGTAGAATGCCACAAGTTGCAAACGTTTGCAGATTACAGATGTATCTTTATACTCTCCCTGGTTTACTTCCCTTTAATTATGTCCGTACAAACATGGAATTCAAATTTCAAAAATATCGTACTATTTGTGTATAGCACAAGAATGATATTATAGATAGATAATTAATTAGAATTAAATCGATTACATATACTCTTTATATTGTCTCGACTTCTCAGATACAGAGAAGCTTGAGTACCAAGGATGCATTTATCATTAATTTTTAAGACTGGTGCGTAATCATAAATATATTTGATACTGTATGTATTTTTTATTACACCCGCCGAATGTTTTATTTTATATTTATGTATGTGTACTAGTAAAACGATAAAAAAATATAAGAATATTCTGAAACCTAGTTTTTATTAATTCACACATGCATTTCTGTTGCTTTTCAAAAGACATGCAACAATAATAAATACGAGGCTGGAATGACGACACTTGTTAATACAAATTGCTCTCTTTATACGTATAATATAATCAAGTTCCTTATGATGTAATGTCAGATAATAATCAGACTAACATACAATGCTACCTTTAATATTTACTACAAACGTTAAAGAATGTGGTTAAGAATTTAAATTTTGAAGATCATCCTCGATTCAGATCTTCTTCTGGAAAACCGCTTCCTTTTATTTTATTAATATTAAAGTTTTATTAAAATTAAACAAATATAAAGTTTGCTTTATTATTAAAATTAAACGAATACGATTTTATCGTCTATTTGCAGCATAGATTTACAATTTGTTAAAATTTAGCCTTTTTTAAATTAGTCAAGCGTATTCATCTAATAACAATTAAAACATGGACAATTGGGAGCTTTAATACGCGGTAATTAGTGCGATTATATTTTCATAGTGTTTTAATTGTTATTAGTTTAATATCTCGAGAGCTCAACTTATATATTTTTGTTTTCCTTTTATTTATACGCTTTATTTAAGTGTATTCATGTCTATTAATATCTCGATATTTTTATCAAGAAAAGAAAAAAGGATTCGTTTTAACTTTAGACTAAAAACGTGTCTAACATTCTGTGTAATAATAAATTGAAACAAAAGTAACTTAAAATAGTATCCTTTATCAAAAAGGAAATTTCATCATGAAGGAAACGGTCTCGACCAAAACCGCGTCCTTCCGTTCGATTGAATTGGGACCCTCATTAATTAGAGCTTTAATTACATTTGCGGTTATGGTTCACCACCGATGCTTTCCAATTATAGCAGTCACATTCAAAGGCGTAACTATACGCATATTACGAAGAAATAATAATTTCTAAAACAGAAGCAGTTCTACAGGATAATTACAAGAAATATTAAATGTAAGAAAATGCATCTAATTTTTAAAAAACCATATCGAAAAAAAGAAATAGTAAAATTGTTCAAAAATAATTAATAATTGTTTTATATTATGGTAATTAAAAAATACGTATATATAGCGTTATAAAGTTGCGGGCAGGAATAAGTGGTGAGATGTTTAATGTTCGTTGTGGAAGGGGAAAGACGAAGCTGACGAGCATATATATCGGAGGTACCATTCTATTGAGTGGCAAAAACGTGAAAGCATTGATCACCTTTGCTACCAGTTATATTCCTCAAGTATAAAAGTACGACATAAACAAATTGCATTACTTCAAGTGTACGTTTTATATGAAAAGTATAGTTTCTTTCGTCCGTAAAGTTCTTGTACGAACAGTGTATTACGCATTATCATAAAATAGTGAAACACGAATGTCGAAGATCAGATGAATAGAAGAAGATAAACCAGTATAAGCGATCTCTTAGTGTTGTTTTGTGTACCAGTCTATGAACGTGAATCATTTAATATTCTTTCATTCACTGTTTTCCCGTAAATTAGTATTATATAAAGGAATACATAAAGAAAAAAGGGCAATGAATATTTTACTAATAGGATTAATTATTCTACATTCGTTGAGAAGTATAAAAGACTAAAAAGAGAAACATTACAAAGATGATATTCTGAAAAATGCATTTAAAATATTTATTTCATCCTGGAGAAAAAATAAAGCATACACACAATTCAATGTATTGCTAATACAATTGTAGTTACTTCCGAAAATATTACAAGACAAAAAATTTTAAATGCATTTTTTTCAAAATGAGTTTTTTTGTTTATATTCTCTTTTCTACTACCGTTGAAATTAATTATTAAAATTATGTCATAAAACAATTATTAAAATTTATCTTTTTATAATACCTTCAACTAAAATATAACTTTATACAAGTTTACTACTTAACATCTATAGCAGATCAAATTATCGAACTCCTCAACTTGTTCTCATTCCAATAAAAAATGAAATATTTGTCATGCATAGCTCCTAATACGCAAGATCACAAGTGCTATAGTGTCCGGCAAAAAAATGAGGTTGCTAGTCGTATCTCTAGTCTTTGTGGCGATGATCACTATTGCGAAAACACAAAACGGATATGCAACCAAACCAGGTTCGTGTCCACCTGCCTTACCTGTGCAGTTCTGCGGACAATCCTGCTACTTTGACGCACATTGCGCGGGAATCGGCAAATGTTGTCAAACTCGATGTGGCGGTTCCATTTGCTCCATGCCTGTCACGATGACGCAATCCCGGACAGGTGAGTAATTTCTTCGATACATTGTGTCCAATTTGTTAATCTGAGACAGAAACATTGATCCGACATTTTTAAACAATTATTATTATGTTTACTACAAAATTTAATATTGTACTAATTGTAAACTTTATAATAAAACAAAATTTAATGTAATTTTATCAACAACATATTTTTAAGAAATATTTGGCTCTAATGTGTGTAATTTTCTCTGTTTCCATTGCAACTTATAAAAAAAAACTTTTAGATAGCAAACTATCTAAAAGTTCTCCTGAACAATTACAATTTTAACAATTTTTTATTGTCGCTGTCATAATTATTGTGTTGTATATTATAATATAACTAGAATATTGTAATAATATTTATAGAGAAGCACAATAAATTAATCATGAAATTCACAAGTTTGTGATTGAAAAATTGAATAATCTGTTGAGCAGAGAAACCAGGATCTTGTCCGTCGAAACCGACAGGAAGATGGGTATGCACATCGACTTGTAATGGCGACAACGATTGCAAAGGGACATTTAAATGTTGCAAAAATAGATGTGGAGCCCTAGCCTGTCAAAAGCCAGAAATACAAGTACCCGAATTCATCGAAAATCCAGTTGAACCGGTTGTTTCGCGATTCGGAAACGATTATATTGATTATTATCCCTAATCTCGATTTTTATATGCCTATTACATTTATATAATAATTAATAAATCTAGCACTGATTTCATAATGATTATTTCATTACATAATAAAATAATTTTTAGTAATAATTTTATTTCTTATTAGCTTAACGTGTTTACAATTTTATATACATTTTATTAATAATTAATTTTTATACAATCTATTAATGATCTTCTTGTCTGCAATTTGATACAGCGCGATAAGAAAGCATATTTGGATCGTAATTATCGCAATTATATTTTTGTCATCTAAAATTTAAGTTAGCAGAAATAATTAAATTATCATGTACACAATTAAGAAAATAATTTGTATTTTTATTTCTTAATTTGTATCTGTCGCATCTCCAGATAAATTTATTACAAACATTAACAAAATAAAATAATAAAATTTATGTAATTAAAATTACAAAAATCTAGTGAAGCATCCCAGAGGATCATTTAATACATCTTTACTAATCGATAGATAATTCTAATAAACAGACTGATATAAGGAAAGACCAAGGTTATGCAAAAAATAATATCAAAAAAGAGAAAAACGCATTTATTATAAGAGACAGATCTATTAGTATGATTCAGACTCGTAAAATATCACTTCAGTATATAAATATATGTCGACATAATACATTTAATTATATTAACCTTCATTTTTAAGTAAATATTTTAGTAGCTAAAAAATTTGGTAAACAAAACGAACTGCGAGTCTACATCAACTCTATGTAATTACCACATAATTATAGCCTTGATTTATTTTACTAATTGATTCGAGATTCGAGACAATAAACAAAGATTGAACGATTATAAGTATTAAATTAGAATACACTAAACAGCTATTTATGAAGCATGAAAATTCTAAATAACGAGATTTATGAAGACAATTCTATAATTACACCTTCAATCAGTAACTGAAAATAATTCGTGATTACTACTAAGATATCATCATGTATCTTATCTAAAAAAGATATCAGGATTTTTTGTTACTGCTCGATTTTAAAAAGAACAAATATATTTCGTTGTTATTACAACGTTGATAGTTAAAACTGTAATGCCAATTATGTGATTAAGACGCTTAATGGTGCATAATATCATACAACATCACGATGTAACATGTGGAGAAAGAAAGAAAAAGCGCTCGAGTTCAAGTAAACGGTATCGTGAAAAGAACTTTCCTGAATCCACGCTATAGACGAGCTACTAAGGCACGAATTATGATTTATTCGTTATATATATTCTTCTTTCGTCACATACTCGATCAATATCAGAGAGGTGGAAAGCGTTATAAAAGCTGATGTTTTTATCATTGTGCGTTTAGAAGTCTCGTCGGAACCTCACCGCGAAGTTTTAATCAAGTATCCAAGAAACCAACGCCGGCCTGTAAAATGAATCGTGAGTATTTAAACTGTGCAGCCTTGAAAGTTACAGATGCTACGCACTTCTCGAGAATATAATACATGACTTCCATGTAATATCATTAACATAAGTCAAAATCAGAATACGCTTTAAAGTGTTTAGCAATTCGTTGAACAAAAGTACCAGGTCAATTCTATTAAATAAATTATATAAATGAATAATTGGGCTATTATTAAACAATTATGTGATACTGCGATTAATTTCTGTGAATGACACGTATATATGGTCTCTCTTTTAAGGTCGCTCATATAAATTGAGTTATAATCTTACATTCTCTGAAATTAACATAGAGTTTGTATAATATTTACTTTCCAGGAAGTTTATTACTGTTCACGGTATTGCTAGTTCTGCTGATCGCCAACACGTTCTCTCAGTCGTTTTGTAAGTAAACACTATCATTTACGTACAGAAAACTGATTGGAAACGTACGCAATTGTATTTTGGTTTCACGTAATGGGAATACCTGTTCTATTTTCAACTTATGTTCTTTCTCTCGCTCTCTTTCTCTTGTTCTGACTTAATTAATTATATCAGAAGTGAAATAAATGCATCATTTTTTAGATATTTATGTCTTATCGGAAAGTAAAAATTCTAAAGTAGAATCCGTTTCCTTTCTCACAAATTGGATATAGTCGTTTATCTCTTAAAATTTTTATTTTTAACAGCTTATAATATTAAAATTATTAGCACCTTAAACTTTTCGTCAGTAATAATCGACTCCGAACTTTTTACAAGGAAGATTATAGGCCTGTTCTTTTTGGCTGAACTTTTGCACCAGTTCATCTTTCTTGCTCTTCTTTCCTCCTGGAAAGAAAAGGAAGAAAGATGAACTGGTGCAAAAGTTCAGCTAAAAAGAACAGGCCTTATATCTACACTTTCTCAATTCTAAGATGTTTTATGATGTACGTAGAAATTTCATAGCTTAGATTTTAGATTTAGATTTAGTTTTGCAAGACGTATATCTGCGTAATAGGAAAAAAGAATGACGAATGCGACACATTAATAACTAAGCTACGTAATATTCAATTATAGTATCCTCACGAATGTGCACGTCAGCGAAATAAACGTGTCAATTATGACTCTACTACTCTCGGTTAACTTACAGAGTGATACTATCACTTAATCAAAGTGTCAAAACGTTCTATGTAAAGAAAGATAAGATAATTATTTCTTAATAATGTAAAAAAATAATTCTTAAAAAAATAATGACGATGCAATGAACGATTACATTTACAACACTAATAATTTCAGATGCTAATTACTAATAGTATTGACAAACAACCGCGAGAATCGTAAGGACTAAATAAAACAAACGCGCTATAAATTAATCCGAAGAAAATCACGGAGTGGGTCCTATTTGTTATAACCATCAATCATTTTATAGACAAAAGTGGCAACTGTCCGATGAGGAATACCGTGACCAATTGCGCTCCCAGATGTATAGGAGATGCACAGTGTTCGTATAATCAGAAATGCTGTCCAAACAAATGCGGCCACACGTCATGTGCCGACACAAGCCCAGTCAATACCGGCAGCGATGGCGGATACAAAGGCTCAAGCAGTATGTACATATGAAAACGCATATGTTTTTATAATAAAAATAGAATTAATCCTTTGCGGTCCTTCGCATTAAGCTGAACATACTTCGACATACTTCGCGGTCACCTGTCGCAATTGAAATCGGCAAACCATATTTTTGCCATTTTTAGAATCTCTATAAATTCCTCCAGACAATAAAAATTCCTCATGAATCATGTTAGATTCACTGATCAGGTGAAATCGAAGACAAAATATCTGATCTTCGCTCATTTGTAAGAGAGAAATTCAATCGCAAAGGATTAAAGTAGATTTATATGTATTTAAAAAGAAGAAATCTTGCGAATCTTATTGGTTTGAGAAATCAAAATTGAGAAGTGTCTTGAACTATCGGGACATTCCATTACGTTTTTTTACAGATCAGGCCGTTTACTGCAATGGAGTGAGGTGCGCCGCATACGAAAAGTGCCAATATGACCGCAACACCAGGCGTGACAAGTGCACGCGTGTCTAGATCCATGAATTCTCGATCATTGTTACTATAATATGACAAATATACGTTTATTTCCCTTCAACTTATTGCATTGTGTGCACCAATTCGGAGAGTGCAGGAATAAAAAACAGATCTCATCCCGGTAAAAAATTTATCATACATGAATATGTATAATTATGTATAAACATATATAAACATGTATAAATATTCATAAACATACATAATTTTATATGAAATATGTCCATACATCCTTTTTTCTCTTGTAAAATTATTTTTTAGTGTGACAGAAATAATAATAGCAATGTGAAAACATTAAAAATAATTAAAAGGGTAATTTTCGCACTATAATTGTTTTAGAAAAAATCGAGTTTAAAGAAATGTAAAAAAATTTTTTACACTAAAAAGTAATTTTACAAAAGAAAAAGGGATGTATGAATATGTATGGACATATTTTCATATATAATTATACATGTTTATGAATATTTATACGTATTTGTGTATATTTAGACATATTATACATATTCATGCATGAAAAATTTTTTACCAGGATGTATTCTTTTAAATCTAAAAGTCTCTATTTGGAAAAATACATTAATAATATAGCGAGCGTTCACTCAACTTTTAGGTTCCCTAAATGCAATCAATGTTTTAAATGGAATTCATCTATTAATGTCGTGTTTTGCATGATATAGGCTGAGTTAATTGTTTCACTTTTCGATAAACTTCAGCTTACTCTCCCTAATTTTCTTATGACCGTATATTCATAGTCAGATCTTATTATACTTAAGGCTTTCTTAAATTCATCTTCAGATGCTCTACAAATTATTTCATTGGTTACTGAGTATCTAAAGATAAATTTAAGGAAGCTTTAAGTATGTATTACAAGGTCTGACTATGAATACGGGCATTATCTACTACTCTCTTATGCTTTTACTTTTTTACTCTTTTATTTATTCATTAGATAAATTATCACATAGTTTATCCGAAGATGGAACCGGCCTATAGAGATATAATAATAATATACATAATAAAGTGATAGTAAATATTTCAATAACGCATAAGACATTTTAGAACTGTCTGAGAACTTAAAAGCGATAGGTTCTTAAAATATTTCTCGCATCGCGTGTAACAATATTAATAATTTAATATTGTTAATTTAATATTGTTTATTAATTATTCATTACCTTGATAAATACCCAATAAACGAGAATGGATTAAAATGGATTGAAATTTTTTCTGTCCGAATGCGTATTTTAAATAGCGAATACTTTTTTTTATTTATATAATTGGATTCAATTAGATTCAATTGGATGCAATTGGATTGAAAAACTGCATTTCCTATTCAAAATTTTGAATTGAACAGTATTCACACAATGCACAGAAAAAGCTGATATTATTTTTAGATTGAAAGGCATAGAGATATGCTCCATGCAATTCCTATGAATGAATAAAAATGCATTCAGAATTGAAAAGCATTCGTTTTAACATTCATGAATCCATATTTCTGAAAATCTGAATCCATTTCAATCCATTTCAATCTATTCTCGTTTACTGGGTAAATCCAACAATTCTTTCGTGCCGTTTTTCATCGTTTTGTTTTCTGATAGAGATTGTTTGCACGTGTTAGAATATTATACTTATGAGGAAAATAATAATTGATTTGAAGCCAGGGTTGCAAACTTTTCCAAAATTAAGATGTACGTAAAATTAACTTTCCACACTTTTGGGGGAATATAAAACATACTTTTTTTCATACCTTTGATGGGTGTCCAAATAACTTTTTAACTGATTGAATAGTGTATCACACGATTCACGAAATTGACCGTCGTTTTTTTTTTTTTGTCAAATTCTTTCGTTTTGAGAAAACGCATCGAATGAGTACATTTTTATTAATTAGGGGGAAACCCGTATTCTAAATAATTACCTAATTTTTCTTTAAATTATTTATCTCGATCGCGTCGTTCGACATTAACTGCATTCTATTATTTAATGCAAGTATTAGAGCATGTTGAAGCTTGCGATGCAAACAAACCTCTGAAAAGTATACATTACAGTAGATTGATTTTCAGTGTGAAGTGAATAATGGAATGCATATTATCGAAAGATCGTTTAATATCGAGTAATCGATCTGTCGACCGATAGCGAAACGTCACAATCATCCGGGAAGGGATATAGGTTATGTACGTCCTAAGCAGACTTGAATGTTCTTCGGTTTACTACTAACTTCATATTTCGTGCAAGAAGAACGCGAGACGATGTAAGGGAGAATCGACGACGTCGTCTTGTCTTGCAAGATGGATCGCCGATGCCGCGTCCGCGCCAGGTAGACCACGTAAACGTCCGTCTTCCGGCTCCGGAGGAGAGGTTAGCTCTCCGTCCAAGCCGACCGTGCCGAAAATGGCTGTGGAATTTTTGATGAATCGGCTTAAAGCCTTGTTCGTACTGCTCTTCGGAATATTTAAGCGCGCGATGTGCTGCCTCCGACGTCGAAGACGATCGTCCTGCGACTCTGTGCCCTTGTCCACCGTCGGCGTGGTGCCGAATGTTCTCACTAGCTCGACGGTACATACTTCTCATTTATACAATATCTCCCATGTAAAAAATTAATCTATTTTTTATGCAATTTATAAATAGGTTCTTGTTTTGATAAAAATACTGTACTATCTTAAGATATCGAAGCAAGCTAAAAAATGTACGATCATTGTATCACGGATCTGTGGGTACACTTTTGAAACTTAAAGTGAGATAGGTATATATTTAATATTTAGCGAAAGCGAGAGAGAGTTCTAACGTAGGAATATAAAACAGACCTATATAATTTTTATAGATTATACTAAGGTCCAGTTCCACAACTCACGGTTAACTCTTAACCGAGATTCAACTTGTTTCTCATCTTTTTCCAATTCTAGAATGTAGCTTTGTAACTTTTTCTCTAGAGTAGAAACATGAAAAATGAAAATTTTTATACATGTATGTATATATGTAGGTTTTATAACAATACTTATCAAGTGTATGCTTATTTAAGGAATTGGAGCAGTGGGATAAGTGGGAAGAAAATCCAGTTGTTGTTATACCAGATAAGCCAGTTAATACGGTACAAGCTAAGATAGAGCAGTATCGACAACAAGTGATTAAGCCTCCTGAAACACCCACTGAAGAACAGCTTAACTTTTTTGAGGTACTCAGGCTAATTCTGAAACAGTTAGATACTTTAATAACAACAGATTAAAGATTTTACTTTTGCATCTTGTGTAGGATATGACTCCAAAAATCACTAGGCAGGCAAAGATTCTAATAAAGGACAAGCATGCAGATGGCTCGTCTCGTAACATTGCAAAATTCACAGCCATGGATCCTGTTCCGACTGTAAGTCTGTACTTGCAAACTCGTAACACTTCAGAGATTTACATTCCTGTCATCTGTTCAGAATGAATTAGGAGAATGGGAAGAAAACTCCGTTGGTTGGGAAGTAGATGACTTCAATGATCCTACCAAAGTGCTGCGAGAGCAAAGAAGGAGAGAGCGGGAGCAGCGATTAATGGAACAGCATCAGAAAAGGCTGGAACGTACTGCAAAACCGCAACCCTTAGGTGCAAAACTGTGTTCCTGATGCGAGACCACAAATGCGTGGGAATTAATATCAAAATACACAATAATGTACAATTTAATGGGATACATGCCGGATATTTTTAATATAGAAATTGGCATGTTCGTATAACTCTTTACTACTCGACTAACTTTCAGTATCACATGTCAATTTTATCTTGCGTTTTTTATTATTGTGCATCAGTTATTACAAGTTTAAAAATGTGACGCGAAAATTCCTTCTTTAAATATTGCATCTTCAAAGAAATGCAGATTCGTTATATTTTATTCCCTATATATCATATATTAAATATTTTTAATCTTCCAAAAGGGTACTAGAGAATTAATCATGAGAGAAAATGCAATACATTTACTTGAAACAGAGTGATGAAATTGCATGAATGTAAAGTATTATGCATTGTATTATCTCAAAAGATTGACTGTTTTGTTACGTCATCTTATTCAAGTGTGTAAATGTACTCACTAGCATTTTTCAGTATTTAAATCACATTATTTCTCTTAATACTTTGTAAATGGAAAAATAACGTGTAAACAACATCAATATGATTATCCCTTCGAAAAATAATAGTATTTGTAGACATTCCATATAAATTTTGTACAATATCGAATGTGATGCGTCTGGACTTCTGCATGAGCGGAATAATCGTTTGTAAGTTTATAATAAGTTGATGTATAATAACCAGGAATTTTTGTCACTTCACAAATGTTTGTTACATTTATGAGTCTATAATCTTGATGGATTTTATTAGAAGCTAAAATCTCGGAGGCTGTGTAGGAAACGAGAGAGACTTTAGTGCGATGCTTCGACTTGTTATATTTTTTCCTTTTGTTATTCATGCACAATTGCAAAAAAATGGCATGGATCATGGATTTTAAAGTGTTTCATAATAAAAAAAGGAATTCGTTTACGTTTGGATTTGGCAATACCTGACTCTCAAACATTCTACCAATTAAGTACGTAAAGTGTGTCTTCGCTCATTTCATGACCTCAGAAACTGCATTAATATGATGCAAAATTGTATTTAAAGTCCCACGTCACTATGAAAGAAATCGAATTAGAAAGACCTATGAAAGGAATACCTATAGTGGATAAAAAAATGATCAAATAATTTCGATCAAACTTCAGTTAACTTATCAGGCAATACCTACACTATTTTGTTCACAGAATTATTCATTTTTTATTATAATATATATGGAAAAAAAGATCAGACATAACAAAATATACAATTCGAAATTTTACTTTTAGACATTCCAACGGTTAAATTAATCGCCGATTTCCTCAATCTCGTCAGAAGTTCGTCAGAAAGATTCATTCCATCTACGGATGGACCAACGCATATCTCAAACGTATGCATGATTCATGTCAATTCGATTCTCGTCTCATGCACATCAACGTCAATATAAAAAAAGAGGTGAGTTGTTCATCAGTCTTCGATCCCGTAGAAGACTCAAGGAAGGGGAACTGGAGTAATCTGATCGGAAGCGCGCGTCGCGCCACACGCCACCACACGTACGATCTCGCCGAAGACAGCTGGAGGACAGCTCAGGACAGCTGGGGGCTATTGACGATCGGCCGTTACGTGTCCGAAATAGAGACATTAGAAAATTCCTCGAGAAAATTGTGAAACGCTCGGAGCATCGAGCCCGGATATATCGACGGTGGATCGCCACTGAATTCCAGTGGAAGGAGAGAGACGGCAGGAAATTGACGGTCGCGCGACGAGATAACCAAGTTGATAGCGGGTCGACGATAGGTTCGGCTCGTGTAAACACAGCCTCGTAGACGCGATCATGAACGATTGCGGGCTTTGCGGCTCAATCGAGCTCTGCGGACGATCGCTCGTCCGGTGAGAGAGCGAGAGGGTAAATTTCTGTTTCTCGGAGCGGGACAGTCGGGCGCGCGGACGGGGACACGCGAGACGCATACGGACTCCCGTGGTAACGCGAAGGATTGATTTCCAGGTACCGCGGTACCCGCCTTATCTGAACACGATGTGCCGCACAATAAGACCTGCAGCTTAATTGGGAAATCTCTGTGACTCATTTTGCTGTAAGATAGATCTAAAATCATGTAAAGTGAAGTGGAGGAACATCATCGTCGCAGTATAGTTTGTTTAGTCGCGAAAAAGACGCAACAATGGGTTCCATCGCTCTGGAGGAGTACGAGTTGATGAAGGACTCCAAGTATCGGGTGTAAGTAGAAGATAGATTAGCACATTTAGCATCACTGACATATACGACTCGGTAAACATCACACAACGTTATAGTAATTTATATTTCATAGCTTGATATTTGTACAGTTTCTCGTTAAGAAACTTGATGCTATACGTTGTATTTATCACATAGCTATGTGTCTGCTGTCGACAAGGCCCTGAAGAGTTTCGAGTACACGAGCGAATGGGCAGATTTAATCTCTGCCCTAGGAAAGCTCAATAAGGTGTTACTGAGCCATATGAAGTTTCCTGTTATTCCAAGGAGAATTAAAATATCGAAGAGATTAGCCCAATGCATGCATCCAGCATTACCTTCTGGTGTTCACTTGAAAGCTTTAGAAACGTACGATATTATTTTTAAGTGTATGGGCACTAATAGGCTTAGTCATGAGCTCTTTATCTATAGTGCAGGTGAGTTACGCGTTGAATAAGAGAAATAATTATAGGTTATTTTGACACGTTCTTTATATTCATCCTCATTTAGGACTATTTCCATTGTTGGGTCATGCTGCAATGAATGTCAGACCATCATTGTTAACGGTATACGAAACACACTTTGTACCACTCGGCGAAAGATTGAGACCAGGATTAAGTGGTTTTTTAAGTGGCGTTCTCTTGGGCCTAGAAGATGGATCTGATCATTTTGACAGGTGCAATCTACGTTATCTTTGTATCTCTTGTGTATATTCATAAATAATAATTCGTAAATGGATATGTGCATAAGTAATATATAAATTTATGGGACATTATTTTACACTAGAACTAATTCCTTACTGGAAAAAGTGTGTGAGGGTGTGGGTGCGGAACATTTTTATGCGTGCCTCTGGGACTGCTTGGCTTCAAATTCTGTCATTCGATTGCCTGCAATATCATTCGTGCTAGCACATTTCAACAAAAAAATGTCGATGGAGGAGCAAAAATATATTATGGGTACTAATATCAAAATTATGGTAAGAAAAATTTTAACGCTATAAATTTATCTTAAGATTTCATTCTCTAATGTATCAATTTAAAAAGATTTCAGCCTTGTGTGCTGGAGTACAAGATACTTCGGTGCTAGTGCAAAGAAGTGCACTGGATTTTCTATTGATAGGTTTTCCTATGCACAACAGTCAATTGACACATCCAGATATGATACTGTTAATAAAAGCTGCTTTAGTTACTATATTGCGAAGGGATATGAGCTTAAACAGGTAAAGGAAGCTACAATGTGTAACAGTCTTTTTCATATCTTTATTTTATATATGTTTTTTTTATCATGTAATTATAGACGTTTGTTTGCTTGGCTGTTGGGCACTGAAGTAAGCACATCGATTTTAAAGAAGAAGAACCATGCAATTGCAGACACTAAAGAGAGTGTAACATACTTTGATATGTATTCGAAGGAAATGCTAGTTGAAGCGATAAAATATCTACTTAAAGAAGTGTGTGAAGAAAATTCGCAAGATCTGAAGCCATATAGGATACTTGTCTCGTTACTCGATAAGGTGGATATTGGACCAATAATTTTAGATGATATTCTGTTTGAAGTGTTTAGGTAAGATCGTTTATGCTATGTAAATATAAAATAAAACCTTTTGAAATTGAAACCATTTATCAACATATTTTTTAATAACCTTGCATTGCTCATTTTAGGACATTTTATAATGCATGCAGACAATTTATGCCAAGTCATGCCCCGAAATCGAATGAAGTGGTGAAGTCTGCGAATCTGTTATTCTCGACTTTGGAACCGTCTTATATCTGGATACATTGTGGGCATCTATTTGAGAAAGCCTGTAATACTAGAGCAAAGTCGTGCTAACAGAATTTTTACTTGAGACTGTGTCGTTGGATGCGTTTATAGACACGCCATCTGAACATCTTCCTGGCTTATTTTACGAAATAATCAGCAAACTTTTACATCACAGTAATATCCTGTCCCCAACAGAGATCTCAAAAAGTCTCAAATTATGCGCCAAGATCTTATCGAAGGTGCAACCAACGTCTCATGCGGATAAGTGTGAAATAGATGCCAAGTTGGACATGTCTCTGAATAACATTACAGTTCCCAGCGATAATTCCCTGATGGCAATCCCTTTAGAGAAAAGTCAGTCAGATAGTAAATTGAATAAGCCCGATACATCCAATATCTCCTTCACAGAGAAAAGCCCAAGTACAAGAAGAAGAGCCAATTCCGGTGGTGCTGCTAAAAGGAGCGAGAAGAAGTCGAAGAAAAAGGGAAGTAAAAGCACTCCCAAATTAAACGACACGTACACAATACAGGCTGATGGCAGCAGCATATCCGTTGTAGTGAGCGAAGATACGAAACCTTTACCTAGAAATAAAAGTATGGACGATATTAAAGCAAGCTGCGTTGAAATTGATGATATTTCTTCATCAATGATTCAATCTTCAGACAGTCGGCTGTCCATGTTAAAACATTTTAAGAATGTTACTCCAATGGGATCGACGGGATCCTTATGTAGGGGACCATCTCCAGCGTTTCAGGCACAGCATTCCATGTTGGAAAAGTGTCTCCGGCAATACGAGATATTTTACGTTAAATTAATTAGCAACCGGATACTTAGCAAAGAGAGAACAGTGCAGGATATGTTTGATCATTTGGTGGTGTCTTCTCCGAGAAAGAGTTTCGATGAGAGAATGCGTTACTTGGAATTCATGTTAAATTCGAGATTAAGCATAGATGACTCCGGATTCTTTAGTCAAGACTCATCCGTAACTGAAGATACCAAGTGCCTGGATATTTTTCACCTATTCCTCGATTTGGCGACGTACTCAGAATGGATCGAAGCCATGAAAATAGCGTCCAGCTTATTCGTCGAACTGTCCACATTTCCTAAATACTTTTTGTCCGGCGACGATGTACTCGTAGAAGAGGAACCGAAATTTGAGCACGTTCTTCCGGATTGGTTGAAAATTTTAATAGTCTGTTCTTGCTGGTTGCAGAAGCAACCCGCATTACAGTTAACGAGTATTGCTACGTTATTGGACTTAGTTGCATTGTTAAAAGCACATAACGACGTCGAGACACATCCGAAAAGTGGAGAGGGTGTGACGACGGTTATTATCGTTCCCCTGTTGAAACAATGGCACATAACTTATTTGATGCAGTATACTAATGTATTTCAGGTAGGTTCTGTAGTATTTCTACATTCAATATTTGATTAAAAATACATGAGATATTAAACAAAATTATTTTTAATACAAAGGTACTGGCACATTCCTTGTGGCATCATTTGGGCGAACTTCCCGCCCATAAATTCAGGATGCGTTGTGTAGAATTATTGCACGAATTACATCATGCTTTATACGATTCTTGTGATGCGGTTGAGAACCTAATAGGATCCGCACTTACCTCTGAAAATCCCGAGAAGAAGATCGAAGCCTTCAGTAGATTTGCTACTTTGTGGCACTTAGGACGAGAAATTGAAATGAATCCAAGATTGCGTGGCTGTCTTAGAACTTTTGACCAGTAAGTTTTTACAGTATCTATCCAGTTAGTATTTACCCAGTTAGTATCTACCCAGTTATAATTACAGTTTTTACAAAGCTTTTGTCTTCTGTTGTGTTGAATAGATCTTTGTTGAAAATATTGGACAATCTTCAGCTTGCGGACAATTCGCCGTTAAAGCTGCAGGCCCAATCGTGGCTGTTACATTCCTTAATGCGTGGCGACATATCACGCGTAATAGATCCTCTGCTGATAATACTATTAGATCCATCCACATGCCGTATGAGCGTTCTTCACGTGAGTATACAACACAGTAATACCGTCCTAACGAAGAATGATCCTGTGGAGGAGAAATCAGAGGTTCAAGACGACACTGAGGGCGCCGCGAAAATTTACGCAATCAGTTCAGTCGATGGTAATGTAATATATCACGTGAGCGATAACGTAGATGAAGATAAAAAATGGAAAAAGGGTAAAAAAAAGAAGCATACGATAAATCCTGTGAAGATAAAACGAATCTTTGCGGTGACAACGCTGGCGACTGGAGATAATTGCAATCACTATGTTACCGAGAGAAATCAGTTTATGAAGGAACTTGAAGTACCGCCCAGTATATCCGGCAACAGAAAGATTTCTGTGTTCGTAAATCCTCTCTCGATCAATTGTAATGAAAATTCAAATGACTCCTTTACGGAGGACGATTCGCTGCCCAGTATGCGCAAGACGAATTTAACAACAGAGTTGCTGAAAAATGCTACTCGCTTTAAGAAAATTGATTTCGACAAAGGTTCTACTGCCAGTTTAGACGAAAGTCTTTTCGAATCGGCGAATTCTAGCTTGAAAGCGAAGGATAAGAGTAGCTACAAGAAACTAAACGACGATGTCGATTCGTCGTCGGATTCCATAACGAATAGCTTAGATTCGAGCAGTCCTGAAGTAACTAACAAACAATCCAAACAAAAGAAGGAAACTCTTATAATGCCAGGTAGTTCCAGAGAAGTAGCGGGCACTATCATAAAGGGCAGATATTATAGCACAAACGAGTTCAGCGCGAATTACGATCATGATATCGGTAGTTTCGAAGCGAGCGTGGAGGTACCTAGCTGGACAATGGACGACGACGATGGCGAACTGGATGTCAGCACCACTGCGGAAGAGTACTTTAGCAACTCTAGCAGCACCGGTATAGTCGAAGAAATTCTGAATGAAGTACTCGATCGCGCGATGCAACTATGCGACATTGCCGAATCACCTAAAAATGCAAGTATCTTGTTATTTAGCTTAGCCTGTTGAAACGATAACACATCACGACACATTCTTTTAATATTTTTTATCCTGCAGGAAGAGGTTCCGCAACATAATGCGAAAACTAATCGAAATATCGGCTTGGGTGTTCACAATCTTCACTCCCACATGTTACTCTACTGTGGAGTATACGATTCGGCCAGGACTCTTTACGCTCTGCGTACCCTCAGGAACGAACTCTTGACGAACACGCGAATGTTCCTGTGTTGTGCTGCGACGACTGGTGTAGCGAACGCGACGAAGAACACAGTGTTATTAAACTTGTTAGCAAGACATAGGAAAAGTGTTTTTGGTAGGAACTTTCATGGTGATATAGCTAATACGGAATTTATAGCGGCTTACAGAAGTAGTATGTATCTAGAAGTGTTGATAAGCGTGTGTCTGTACTTCGCGAGAAGCTACTATCCGAATCTGGGGCAAATGAGACTTACATACGAAGAGATCGCGGGTAATCGCCAAGTATGTGTTCAATTTTTTAAAAATGTCTATAAAAAAGCATTTTTGAAGATGATATACAAATTAAGAAATTATAAGATTTTTAATTAAATATTTATTTTTGTATTATGAAACTTAATTAACTTTTTTTCAGTTTTAATGGATATTGTTAATCTTGTTAGTATTGACGATAATATTTTCTACAGGTACAACTTGCGAGTGCGGAGTTATTGACGCTAATATTTTCCGAGTTAATCCCGATCGTTCGCGATTCTGGGAAAGGCTTTAGTTGCTATATAGTTGATTTATTGACTAAATGTAAAGTACAAAAAGTTGCTCTGCATTGTCTTGTATCCAGTGTTATGAGTATGAAGAACGCTCATAAGGAGAACGAAGATGTTTCCACGTTTACTGAAGAAATCGTATTGTTTAATGATCCGTTTATCGATAATGATGTTAACAAATGTAAATATAGAGCGAGTGATCATACGGAAGCTTTCCAAATACAATTGTTACGGTAATTATTCGACAAATTCAACAAGAATATTTTGCTAATCCATGACTGATGAAACTAAACTCACATTAGCATTACAATTACTTTCAGTTGTATTTGTATAATTTTTGATAAAATGATTGATTTATTATTTTTCAAGGTTATTGTTAGCATTAATTATGTTGGAGCATCAGTGCTGTAGTCAAAAAGGAGAGGAAATTAATTCTACAACATCCCCCATACCAAGTTCACCGACACGAGCATCAAATTTGATCGGGAATAATTTGACGTTGAAATACGTTTCTGGGGCAGCAATACCGCAGCAACCAATGTTTCTTGCTAGTATTCTTAGCGCCTTGCAACTCGTAAGTTATTTGTTTCAATGTATATTGTTAAATCAATTTTAAAATTTATATGTATTTCTTTTTTTTAGACAAAATAACCAATTTATTTTATCAAATTATATAGAATATTTTTAAATTATAAAAATTGATTGTACAAATTATGAATTGATCTGGTTAAGCAGAAAGTGATAATCGATTACCAACGAGATAAATGATTTGTTGTAATGAATATAAATTTTGTAGGATCATATGAGACATCTTCATCAACATTGGACCACTCTTGTTACGTCCAGCCTACCTTTTATAGGACCGTCTTTAACATCTGTTGTAACATCAGTCATTCATCAATTATGTAATAATATTGAGCATCTAGCATCATATTATATCTGCGAAGATGCGACATTGACATCGAAATTGCAAGATATAAGCACAGTGGAATGCTGTTTGCCTGCAGATTACACTGTGACACATTTGGAAGCTTTGACATATTTACTTCATTACTGTCTATTGGATACTTCTCAACAAATCGGATTTTCATTTAATCAGCCACTAAGTGGTACTATACAAACGGGAATTCCTGGTGCTAATCCCGGGCAAATATTCAATAATCTTATACATGTCTTTATGCCCAGCCCACTTTCTCCAGTTAGTTGGAAATATATTTTTTAATTATATGATATATAGTCGATATTTGATTTATTCGGTACGTTATAGCAAAGTTTTTGTTGTCGTAGGATTTATTCACAGCTAAAGATAAAAGTGGCGCAAATGAGCTGCAACAACACGCCAGGAGAACAGCATTAAGTCATTTGCCAAGAATAATAGCATCGTTGTCTGCTTTATGGCAAGCGGTTTTGGCAACAAAAGACAAGTATATTTTATTTATGTTCTTTAATCAAAAATATATAAGAAAATTAGATTATATTAATGCATTCTTTTAATAATATTGTACAGTGAACAAGCCAGTTGTGTGGTAGGTAGTCCGAGAATAGTCAAATATCAATTGTTGGAACTCCTGTCTCCAATTTCTTTCCATCATGGAGCCAACTTCTTGGCTGCAGTTGCAGTTGCCTGGCATGAAAGGCGCCAATCATCTGCCGCATCAAAAAAGGTAAAGGACATCCTGTATCTAATTTAAAAAATAAATAATGAGGAACAACTGATAGCAGTTTTGGAAAAAATGTTTTTTTCTAATTGCTATTTGTTTCGCAGATACTTCCAGAAGCGTGCCCTAATCAGCAAGTAATGGTTCACCTTGTTAGTGCAATTCGTGTTATGCCTATTGATACTTTGGTGCATACCGTGCATCAAGTAGTGAAAACGCCACCGCCAATACACGGTGTCAAACAAGATTTCTCATTGGAAGTCTCAGTACTCGAATTACTTTATGTGTATATGCAGAGTAACACGTCGCAATCGCTTATTGAGTCTTGGGCATCCTTGTTTAGTTTATTAAAGGATGGTCTGTCGCTAACAGCACCTGCCCAATTTCTCTTACTGGCTATACTAAACGAATATGTACAAAAGTGCCCACCTATGCAAGAGAAGAAAGATATCAAAGATTTGCAAGATGTGTCTGCGAAGGTTATTATTTATTTATATATGTATTGTATAATAATTAATAATAGGATTGCTGGATGTTTTTAATAAACATTTCAGTTGATCGAATCGTGTTCGCAAATAGCCGGTGCCTGTTTAGAGCAAACAACATGGCTAAGAAGGAATTTGGCCGTCCGAGAGGATGTTTTTGAAGTAGTCGAAGGTTCTTCGGAAGGTAAAGAAGGAAAAAATAGTGCTGGTACGTAACGTGCAATTTATTTTGTAGATACATTCTAAAAATATTTAACATAATAGCAAATTTTTATTTGTTATCGCTCTTTACCTTTTTTTCTTATGCAGTTGGTAATTGCAAATAGCTCTATATTTTTCTTCTGTATATTCGTGGTTATCATTGAAAGTTTTGTATTACAGTAACACCCGGCACCCCACCTAACGCGGCATACAGTGTTCAAGCGCAAGCGGTATTAGCGGAAATACTTGCACCACTGTTGGATGTCAGTTATGGTTCGCAAGAGAAGGAACGTGTAGTAACGCTCCTAATTAATCTCATGTATAATGTTACACCTTATCTTAAGAATCACACGTAAGTTGGCTGTGTTCAACTGTAAAAAATTTTGTTTTTTCTCTAAAATTCAAACGAGAAAGAATAACGCCTGAACTTTGCTTACTTTATCTAATTTTATAGGATAAAAAATATCGCCTCATTCACCGCCTGTTCTCAACTACTGGCTTCCCTATCAGGATATCAGTATACGAGAAAGGCATGGCGCAAAGATGTTTTAGACTTGTTACTTGACTCGGCCTTTTTCCAAATGATACCGGCATGTCTGCCATATTGGAGAACCATAATAGACAATCTGATGACGCACGACAATACTACCTTCAGGGATTTAATGAGTAATATATTTTTTTTTACTACATTTTATGCAATGCATATATGGATTATAATCAAACAAATTAACACCTTACGACTGACCTGTTAAATAGATCGCGTTTCCATGGCTCAAGGCAGCGGGATCAGTATATTTTCTTCGAAGGAACAGGAATATGAGCAGAAAGCACAGCTGTTGAAGCGTTTGGCGTTCGTCATTCTTTGCAGTGAAACAGATCAATATCACAAATATATGCCGGAGATACAAGGTAAACATATTTGCGAGATACATTTATAGACTATGTTGTGTATAATAATTGTTTTCATATACTGATTATTTTACTTTTAGAACGATTAGCAGACAGTTTACGTCTACCTCAAGTAATCCCGTCTATTCAGGCGCAAGTGTTTCTTTGTTTTCGCGTACTGCTATTGAGAATGTCACCACAACACGCAACGTCCTTATGGCCAGTTATAGTTAGCGAACTTGTTCAAGTATTCCTCTACATTGAGCAGGAATTGAACACAGATAGCGAAGAATTCAGGTATGTAAAATTTATTTAATCTATGTGCTTATTGAACAAATTTGCTTGTGGGACGCTATTGCTTCGTATGTGCATGTACATTTACTTTACAATACGCGATTGTTTATTTGAAGTATTGAAATTACTTCGTTTTTAATCTTCTTTTAAAACTATTATATTTTTAATATATGCGTTATTACACATAAATAACTAGTGTCGGCTTACATTGGCGTTTATTATTATTATTATTATTATTATAATATTCTGGTCTTTAAGACTCGTGAACATCGAAAAAAAATGCTATAATACAAAATGTCTCTATGAAAATATATTATTAATAGTTATTAATATACACTGGCATGATTGGTATTCCACATTACTTTTGAAATCTATAATCTGATCCAATAATCACCAATATTTTCAAAATCCTCGAAATGTGAACGCGACGAAAAATGCAGTCTTATAATATTGTACATGGAATAGAGACGAAATAAAATTACACGATATAAGACCATCACTTTTGGTGGTCTTATATATGTATAGGTATTGAAGATGTTAAATAGCAGAATATTTGTCTGTGTATGTCCTTCCCTCCCGCCCCCACTAACATGGATACTACCTAATATCGTACTGTTTTGACTCTGTTTCGGCATCTTCGCGATTTGATGGGATTTGTGGTGCCTCCATAACTTGAATGGTGTTGGGACGGCAGTCGTCATAGCAGGTAACTCAATGGTCCATCCAATGCATATTCGACGTACATACCGCACGCGTATGCATACTGTTAATGTTGTAAGGAAACTCGAGTACAGTAATGTAAAAAATACTTTAGTTTCAACACTTGGAAGTATGTATGACGTTTAAAATAAAATCACAACGCGCACAAAGTTATTTTCATATTGTACTAAAATCAATTTTGAGTGAAAATGTATGATAAGATGAGAGTACTTAAGAAACAAATACTCAATAAGACTAGATGCAAGTATTTGCTAAGAAAAAAATACTTAGCTATAGATACAAATATTTAAAAGAATCTGGGAGCATAAAAAGCCCTTTACACTACTGTGTCGAGCATGTTGAATGTCAAAGGATACTAATAACAATCTTGTATCTTGTTGATTGACCTCTGCGGGGAAATTGCCTATTGTTCATATCTTGTGGATATCAAATTATGATTCCAAAAAATTTTTTACACTTTGTCATCCGCTAGCAATATATTAAATGACACATTATTTGCATTTCTTTGCATGCAGTTCGCACATTAAATTATTATCGGCTCTGGACTCGTCGTGGGCTGTTAACGCCAGCAACGGACTGCAAGCACACGGGCATCCTCACTGGTTGCAATTGCAGCTGGCCGCCGCCAAGCTGCTAGATCTCGCGTTGCTGTTGCCCGCGCACAGATTACCACAGTTTCAGATGTAAGCGGAGGGAGAAAAGTTTTGAAGCAGCGTTTATTTCATTCTGAGATAATCTGTATTATCCTGTTTACAGGTATAAATGGGCATTTGTCGGAGACGCAGCGGCAGGTTGTACAGATAACAATAACTTATCCTCTGATTTTGTACCGCATATTACAAGAATAGCGAAATTGATGGACAGTAAGGTGAGTTACCGCAATTGATCTTGCTTTCGTGACATGATAAGTTATTCGGCGCAGTTGAGTAGTATAAGAGTAATTTAATGAATGTTAAGAAAGAGAATATAAAATTTAGTAATTATAATTGTAGTCTTCTGTCGAACATTCCTCGGGTAACAGGCATCTTTGTGCTTTCTCGTCAAAAACGTACTCTTCCTTGCATTCGCATCCACTTCTGCACGGTGTGTAACAGTCCACTTCATCCGGCTTCGAGCATGTAAATTGGCAAAGACAATGCGTCCAGACCGATTTGTCGTCGCACTCTTGAATCTTCCTTGAACGCGTGTAATCAAATTCGTCGTAATCATATCCGGGAATTCGGTGTTTAGTGTATCTGTAAACTTTCTCAGACAATTTGTACCAGTTAAACTGCTTATCGAAGGGACTCCTCTCTAAGGAATCGATACTGTTTCTAAAAACAGCGTAATTTAGACTAGGATACGTGTCGTCTTGATTGTCTGTGTTGTCGAAATCGTTTGCAACATAAAAATCATCTTGCCCGATACTGTTGTATTCTTTATTGAAATTTTTCGAGCGGTCTGTTGATAAATCTTCATAGAAATCAAAATCGTTGTAGTCGCCCATGTATTCTGTGATAATTACAATAATTAGGTTATCACAATATTTATTAATTGAATACGCACATCAGTAAAATATGAATAAAATTAATTTCTTTTATTTATTTAATTAAATAAATATTTAAAAATGGAATAAATGATTATGCAATGTTTTATGATTCGTTTCTTGTTTAATGTTTAAAAGAGACTTAGTTTAAAATAAGTATAAAAAATTATGTAATTTTTTCGTTTAAGAGGAGATGGAATTGATTAAATTAATTTCATAAGAAAGACTATTCTATCTGCAGTCATTTCTTCATTAATATATATTTGCTCTCATAATTAGCATTAATTAACTTATATTAAAATCATTCAATTATATCAAGAGCATTTAGAATATGATAATAAATAAAACAGATGAATAAACGAATTATGCTTTACTAACACTTTTTTAAATTTCATCTTTTTTTTATCAATGTTGAGAGTTGATTTTTCTTTCATAAAATTGTCAAGGTACAATTTAATTTTTAAATTATAAATTTAAACATCCCGTATAAACAAAAAAAGGTGATAGAATATGCAGGAAAAGATTTGAGAGAAAGTATCATTATATGAGTGCCTATGTTTTTCTTTTGAGAGGAAAAAATGTGAAGAAATCTTTTAAATGATCATATTGCTTTGATACTCACGTGCAGTAACTATTACAGTGCACAAAATGTAATAAAATACGATTTTCAGCCAGGCCATCGTTATGATCGTTTCTGCACGGACGGTCGACAAACTCGGTGTACACTCTTAGGATTAAACCGTATAAGTAGTTTCAATTATCACTCTGACCCTGCTCTTATATCGATTCCGCTTAAAGACATTGCTGTTATTAAGTTACGAAAAAATTCTTAATTCATTCCTTTGTTACTAGTATGTGTTAATCTTTTTTTCCGAAAAATATAAAAATTTCTATTAAATAATAGTCATCCAAATCTCGCGTTTGCTATAACTGATATATGTATTACAAGATTCAAAATTACTTAGAACTTAATGTACAAACGCTGTCAGCAATACTGAAATACTTATTTTATTTTAGTACGTGAGAAAGCAAAAGCGTATATATATATATATATATATGCATTCGTTTTTGCAACTAAGCCAATGCGCGGTCTCGAGTCAAATAGTGTTGTGCAATATTCAGCGCTACAGATATAATTTTTCATTTCTTTACGTATTGTTTCATATTGTTCCTTTATCATGTACTATATTAAACAGGAATTTTCTTTTTTTATTTTTTGTAAAATTAATACCAATCTCTTTTTATAGTTCAAGCCAGAAGGTCCACCGCCCAAAAGAAATCCGGGAGAGCTTCTACTAACGTCGAATAATGTTCGCTCTTTGCAAGATTTGCATCATTTCTTCTCAAGCCTTAGTCGCGCTACATGCGACACGTACGTGCCGATAAATAACACGCAACTGGAGACTGTAATCGAACAGGATTTCCTTGAGAAAATGCCAGCCGTGCCAGCGAGATAATAAGGATGTTAGTGATAACCGTATAAATAATATTCGTTCACATCGGAAAGAGATATGTCGTGAAGACGCGCTTTCTCCTTTGATATATTTATAAAAAATATGTACAAGATATTATGAAGATAATCAGCGCACCTAAGTCTATACGTAAATACTACATCGTATAAATGTGGCACAATTATAATATAAGCATTCAAGAAATGCACCAACTGCTCCTGTCTTCTGCCATTAATTGTTTCGAAGTATTCGCTTAACAAACAAAAAAAAGAGAGGAAAAAAAAAAGATTTATTCCGTGTCAATAAAAGTACGATAAATTTGAAAAAAAAAACAAATATTTAGAAAAATTTTAATTGCACAAAATAAAAGGATCGATATGTCGAAAACTATATGAATTCCTTCGTAGACAAATCGATCGTGAAAGAAATGGAAAATTTCTTTTATAAATTGAGAATCAGGAGTGAATCTGGGGCAGCGTAAAATAATTCGTCGATTTCTGGTACTTGTTTTTTATTGATTAAGCTTTCGACTTGTCTCCTCATTCGGTTGTGAATAGTTATCTGCATGTATAATGTGGCAAGCTAAACTCGCTCGTTGGCCTGCTGTTGTAAAATTGTAAAGAGTGTGTACAGTGTAACATAATATTTATACAGAACATAAAGAAAGGTCTTCCCGCTATTTTCTGATACACACACCTGTCATAATTTTCTCACCGATAGTTTCATTTCTCTTTCTTTAACTCCGTATCGTGTAATTTAAAGTAACAAATCGTAGGAAATTTTTTCATAGATTTAAACAGCATACGTCACACTGAAATGCAAGCAGTGAAAGATGAGTAACCGGAGATAAAAATTTAAGTAATGCTCCGCTCGTAATACGAAGTGTGCAGATCATTGTGGAAGTTCATAAGATTTCACGATGTAAAATCCTAGGCAAGTGGAGTGAAGATACGTTAAGATATTTCAGTTGTTTTCGACAATGTTATACTTGCAATTGTTTGACACTATCCGCTTTTGTGCGGATTATCCAACCAGGACGGCACACCATAAAATCTTATGAACTTTTATCTTAATTTTATCTAATATAAAGTTATTATCTCAAACTCTTTTTATTTTAACAAATAGACTTTCTAGTAGCTGATAAATTAATATTACATAATAAAATATGATATATACGTCATATAAAAGCGTACTTGAAATAACACGTTATATTTTTATGAGAAATTAGTTTAATATATATTGAGGAAAAAATCTAATGCCAAGAATGTCTACTTAATCCAGTATATGATGTATCCGTACAAGCTTCTGTATACAAATAGGAATTAAATAAGAACTTAAAGATAATATTGGATATATAATTAAAAATGTACGTCGTCCATTTTGCTCAATAAAAATTTTGAAGTTGTTCCAGACGTCTGTGTTAAGACGCATTATTGTTACGATCTTATACGTTGCTAAAGATCTCTCCTTTTTTATTAAAGTAATTTTTCAATTGTTTTTGTCAATGAATAAATCAATGAGATGACGGAATTACATTGGTAGATATTCTTTGTCAATAATAAGCGATCGTGTCAATAAGTGCTTAATGATGTGTAAAATTTATATTTGTATATTACATATAATATATATATATTCATACCTATACATAATATAATTATAAATTTATATTACAAATTCTATGTACACGTGACTCGTATGTATCTGATATAAAGCAAAAAAATCGGCTTACATAGCGGATTTATTTTTTTATATGCAAGCGCGCATTTTGAAAGCGTGCAAGTCGCATATACAATATGCAGTAACGTCAAATTATTAGATACACTAGCTCGATAAATCGATTAATTTCATCGTGTTTTGCGTTGCTGTTATTACAGTGAAAGTAATTAATTTCTTAAAGGATAATATTTATTTTAAGGCCATATTACTGAAGTTACTACTTGGCGCTAAACCGCTGTAGGGGTAGTATAACATTCATTTTACTGCTTTAGCAAGGGCTTGTGCAAGGATCTGTTGTTTATTGAACAAAAGAATATGATTATACTCTAGTTATGTATATTTATATACTATATTATATATGTTAGTTATATAAACAATTGATGATACGATGATACGATTTTAGTAAGTTTATTTCTTAAATTTTTCTACGAATTAATTTTTTTTTATATGATATCTGTGCGGTTTGTGAGTGTCAAGATGATCTAACTATGAAAATATCTTCATGGCTCACAGACTAACAGATGGTGAAATATGTTAGAGAAGTATTATGTACCTTCATTGAAGTTATGTCGTTTTATACAACAAATATTCGACAGATACTGTAAATCACTGCAATTTTAAGCAGTGCACTCGCTTTTATTATTAGTCCGTTACGTTGAAAGAAATAAAGTTTACACTAAAAAAAAAAAAGAGTTCGATCAATCAACAGTGCAATAAATTTTATTAAAAATAGAGGAGATTGGTGTGTAAAAGATAATAATGTAAGAGTATATAGTGTCTTTTTCTTATTATATCCCTTAAAGCCTTAATCATGACTTCGAATTTTAGCAACTGCCTTTAAAATCTCGCTATGCTGAAGCCTATTCCTTTTAACTGAACTCTTGCACTATTCATCTTTCCTTTTTTTTCTCCAACGTGTAAAGAAAAAGAAAAGATGAACCATGCAAGAAGTTCAGCTGAAAAGAATAGACTAGAATGAAAAAATCGAACGAATCTGAAAGATCTTCAAATTTTGAGATGCGTTCAAGGTCTCGTCCGAGTGCTCTCCAGGTATCACTATCCTTGTTCAACACTCGATGAACAACAAGGATAAAGTGTTACCTGAGATGAGTATCTGAACATAGCCCTGAGAAAATTTTAATGACGAAACCAAATCTCGAGAGCTGTCTGTGAAGAAGGTAAATGAATAGGAATCCGGAAGTGCCGGGATTCCGGAAGAAGACAGGTGAAGGTCGCATTCTTGGGTTATAGAGCTCAACTTGAGGAAATCGCACGAGGATTCTGTCTCGTCTCGATCATCATCGTTGACGTCACGAGCCCAAAACGGCCGTTGTAAGAACGAAGCGTCCCATTTAGCCGAGTCTGGCCGTGCTTTCTCACTCACTCCTCCCAGCTCCGCCGCGTGATCCTGCCACTTGCCAGACTAGGCAAGACCAGGTCTCGCCAGGTCTCGCCAGGTCTCGCGCCGCGCGGCTCTGTTCTCCGATTCGACTGATTCGAGAAATTCGAGTAGGTTCGGAGTAATTGAAGCCCGAGCGGTAACGAGAGAAGGAGAGAAAAGGAAGAATAGGGAAGGAAACGGGTGGAAGTAGCGAAGAAGATTGAGAAGAGTTGCTGAAGAGTTGTGGAGTTGGCGACTTGGCGTCCGCATGGCGCATGGCGAGTACTGATGCAAACGGCCTCGAGAGCGCTAACGACGACTTTGCAGTTTACAGGACTTTGCTTACCTTCGGGGCGAGATGTTCGAGGGACATCGGTGAACGGCAAGCGAACGGGGAACCGGTTCGCAACTTCGTGCGTTCACCGAAGACTGAGGGTTCTCCGCGCGCGAGGTGAAGAGGAAGGTGAAAGTGAAGTCGATCCCTCCGGAACACGAAACAGGTGCGCGTTTCCTCGTGTCTTCCCTGAATCTCCAGTATTATCGAACCATCCGCGCGAACGTCGACAGGGTATGCCTGCGCCAACGCGACCCGGCCCTGCCAGCGTCGCGCATGGTGCGATTCGTCGGCTAACCTAATTCGCGGATCGCGGTATCTCGGATCTGATTGACTACGGACGAGCGAGAGGTCGAGAACGCATTTTCTCCCCACGATGAACGCGAATCTCTACCCAGCGATGGCCACAGACAGGGACGTCATGTGGGACAAGGTCTGTCGGCTGTGCTCGGAGGAGAGGAACGAGATGCTGCCGATCTTCGGCGACGAGGGCCATCAACGTAGAGTGGTACAGAAGCTACGCGCCTGCCTACCCGTGCTTGTATACAAGACTGATCCGTTGCCGAAGCAGATCTGTCAGTTTTGCGCGGCCAGATTAGACGACGTGTATCAGTTCAGAGAGTTTTGCATCAATGTCTACAGGAGTATGCATGCTGTGTTGCTCAAGTGCGAACAGATGGAGTCTGCTCAGATATTCCTCAATGCAATGATGAACTCGTCTGATCCGTGCCAGGTTTGTTGAACAAGTAATCTGTCTTGGAGAACATAATAGCAAATTTCTTATCATTGATTACTTTTAGGAGACACAATAAACAAACATCGTTCCATCCTTCTTGGTATTTAATAAATAACAAAGATAGAATGACGCTTGTCGATTATGTCTCTTAAAAGAATAGCAACCATAGTAAATATAAAGAGAATTGCATAGATAATCAATTTGAGCAGAGCAGAGATTTCCTTTCTAACCATAACCATTTCAAATGCCAGGCTCAACTCTGCAAGGAGAAGTCTAGAGCTCCACCACCGTTGGTTCCTTTATCAATCGTCATGCCCTTTGACGACCCAGCGACGCCGATTAATCAAGTCAATCAGGATCATTTTCAGAATACCTGCATGGAAACTTTGTCTGAATTACCCTGCGAGGTAGAGATTAAGGAAATGAATATGGATCCAATTTTCAGTGCCGAAACCGCCACTTGCGAACCGCTTAATAAAAAGCGTAAATTGTCAGAGATATTTGATGTGGATATACAGACAAAAGCGGAGTCTGTTCTTATACCTAATGTAGAAGGAGCAAAAGCTCTTAAGTCGAATTGTCTAGCCAAGAAAGAAGAGAAACGAACTAGTATTCTGGAACAAGTATTGACTGGTAATTTGACGGTGAATAATCACCAGACACTACAACCTGGAACGAAGTTAACTTCCGAATGGTGGTGTGCACCCTGCAACAGTTACTACAAGTGAGTATCATATACTCGCCTCATATTTCCGCAACATTTTCGAGATCATTGTGGATTCGTTTGGTAAAAAAAATTTATAATTTCCAGAACAAAGGACAGTCTAATGACGCATATGCAATTGCACTGCCCGCGTGTATATACTTGTAGAAAGTGCTCCGCGTCTTTCGAATCTGTCGAAATCTTAGCCAAACACGAAGCTAATAGCCATTTGAAGGTCAAGATGGATTTCACGGAAAACTTGAACGACTGTGATCAGTGCGACCGGCAGTTTGTGAGATGGGAAATGCTGAAGCAACACAGACTGCGCGATCATTTAGCCGAATTGACTGATGGAAGCAATACGTGGTGTTCATTATGCAATAGGTAATTTGCGACATTGAGAGACATATTCGCTTCGTAAACTGCTTCTTTCTAAATTTTTTATATGCATGTATTTGTTTTTAGATTCTTCCCTACAGTAGAATCTTATCAAAAACACGTTCAGTTACATCAAACAAACTCGGCGATGTCTCAGAAGTTGCCATCTTCAGAATTTATAATGACAAAAGTACCAGAACGAATTAGAGAAATTAAACGAGACGAACAGTACTGTGAAAGATCTCTCGAGTGTCCCACTTGCGGGAAGGTATGAAGTCGCATTTACGTTTTCATATGGAAGTTTTACGTGCTTCACATCCTCTATGATTTTTGTATTGTCTATTATTGCAGATTTGCACCCAGCAGAGCGCATTATCGAATCACATGCGCACTCATGAACCGAAGAAGTACAAATGCGACGTTTGCGGCCGATCATTCGGACTTTTCATACGCTTAGCGGCACATAGAATAGCCGAGCATAATGAACAACCAATGATGTCACCAGTCTTGTCAGCAGTCGAGCAAGAGGAAGCCTTAAACGCTGAGAGGGAAGCGAGGGAAGCGAGGGAAGCTAAATCTCGCAATGTCAAGAAATCTTATTCCGAGGTTTGAAATCTTACTCCAATCTCTTTTGCTCTTGATTATGAATTATCGTTTACTTGGCTCACAACAAAATTTGGATTTGTATTTATCACCTCGGAATTGTTTGTATTTATTTCTGCATACTTGTCACAGTGAAATAATATTTTTCCATTTATAAATGCCTTTTACAATATAATTATAATAAAATTAGATTTGATATTATACCATTTTTTTTAAATCCTACAAATACGTACATACATAATAAACAAAATAAGATATAATATTAATTATAATGCAAATGAAATGTAGGATTGGTCAAAGTAGTAAAGGGCTGCTTTGACAGGAGAAATATACGGACTGAAAATTGAATCAGAATATTTCTCTTTAATTCGTGATTTAAATTATCATCTTTTTTATTCATAGATAATGGAGAAGAACGATGTCCCAATAGATGACGAATCTGTAGCGAAACGCATTTCTGGTGGAAATAAAAACGTGACGAGATGCGGCATTTGCTTACAATGGTTCAACGATCACACGACGATGTTAACGCATCTTCAGATACACTCGGAGTCTCATAAGAATTACACGTGTAACATATGTAAAAAATCGTTTAAGGAACAATCGCAGCTGTTGAAGCACGAGGTAAATTTTCCGGCGAGACTGTTGTTACATATCGTTATCCGTTCATTGTCGTTGCATTTCTTTAAACACAGACTATCTCTTGATTAATAGGCTAGTCATAAACGTCAAACGCTCGATAATGCCTCACTGTACACACCCGCTGTTTACAACAAATCATTAGTGGATAAGGCGCAGCAAAAGACACACACGGTGGCTAAAACCTATCACTGTGCAAAGTGTAATAAAATCTTTTTCAAAGAAGTATCGCTGCTCGCTCATATATGCAGGGATACAGCACAACTTGAAAAGAAAGTCACTGAAAAGAAGTCTCGGCTAAAGACGTCACTTCATGTTGGCAATAAGACACACAAATGCTCCAAATGTGACGCGACTTTCGCAAGCTCGCAGTCACGAAACGCTCACATGAAAATGCACGCCGAGTATATGCGCGGCAGTACGGTACGTAACAAATGATACCGCACAACTTTAACTGCATGTCCAGGAACAATCTATATTGTATGACATTACGTTCTAGGCGCAGACACAAGAAATTAAAATCGAAGCAGACGACGAACCGATGCCAAAATTGCGTCCAGAAATCTTGGAATATGTATCTCCCATCGAGCCAAAGGTTGAAATTAACGAAGAGGATACACCTCCACCTCTTAAACGGACTCTTATTAAAACTAGTAACGGGTAACGTGATATATTTCGAACTTTGAAAAATTTTGTGTCTTATTCTGGAAAGTCTAATTCTCTATGTGGCGCATTTATTTTTAGGTATCGATGCGGTGTATGCCAATCACCGTTCGTGTTGAGGGATCTAGCCGTGGCGCATTTGAGATCTGCACACCCCGTGATGCCATATCAGTGCCCTTATTGCAAGAAACGCTTCACGACGCAGTACACATTTGCCCATCATATTAAGACGGAGCATCCCGACGAACCCGAGAAATGAAGATCGTTTGGATCACGCTAGAGAAAATGGACAGATCGAGATTATATCACAGCATGTGCCTCGTATTACGTGTGAAAGAAAGAAAAAAAGAGGGTTGTGTTTATAGATTGTATACGAAATGTGCGTACATATGTATATACTTCACACTGTATAGTGTGTCAATTTTTTCGACTGTTAATTAGCCTTGAAAACTTTTCTATTACATAATCGCAGACGTACAACGTTGAAGTGTTTGTTACGCGAGGCTATTGATATTAGTACTTACACTGAACGTGCCTGTACAAGTGCTTTGTTTTACAACAATTATACGAACAATCGACAGATCTTATTCATAATTCGAGAAAAAGCAGTCTCAGAGTAATGATAAGGTAGATCTCGAAGATCGAAACATTCGGATGGTCACGTAAATTTTAGCGGCGACTAGTGACAATAGAAATTTACGCAATTTGTATCATATATTCATATGATTTATATTTTAGATATAATTCTGTACATTTTTCTCGCGTGAGACTTTATAATTAAATGTAGTTACAGTAAATATATCAGGAACCTTGAAAATCTTGATTATTCTAGATCACGATCGTTCTAGAAACGTTTTCCAGATTCGATTTTGCATTGGTATTATCTTGCGTTTTTAACGGCATGATTCCTCGACAGGGTTGGTAAAGACTGTTTTTTTTTTTTTTTTATAAAACATACTGTATTTCTTCTTAAATATGTTTTAAACTGTTTTTTGCCAACCCTGCTCCTCGATGTCGCCAATGGTCTGATATCGCGGAGTGATATCGAGGATTCTAGGATGTCTAATTCGCGTTAAGATACATTCCTTTTTAAGCAACGTTTCGTGCATTCATCCTATTTTGTGTCACGGTTCCACCGTTGTGATTGCCTTGCGATACAACGCCAAAGTCTCTCTTTGAGAATACCCAAGATCGCCGTTGTCGTGACGAGTGAAGAGTCGGGCGTTTCTGACCGACAGCGATGCCGCGTAATTTAAGTGTATACAATCTTTATAAGTTTATTTTATATATACTTGATTTACAATAAACTATTACTGAAAATATTACAAATCTAGGCCCGAAAGTATTCTCATGTAATTATTCTGCATCATATTCAAACATTGGCATTACTGTGGCCGGAGCGAATTTACTGATACTTTGAGAATGTCCAATCATTCATATCCAATCACATACAATCAGTTTTTATTGAAAATTTCATCTCGCTCTTCTATAAATCAATTTAAGTTGTTTTGCTTTTCATGAAGATATTGCTAATGAGATTGAGTTTATTTGAAATGAGTTTATTTTTCGTAGCTATATTGACAAATGAAATATATACGTATATATACAAGTCGTATATATACATACACACACACACACATATGTATGTATGTATATATATATATACAGGGTGTTAGTTAAGTATGTTACCATACTCAACAGAGCGATTCTTTGGTTTATTTCAAGTAAAAAAGTCCATATAAACATATGTCCTAAATGGCTTAGTTTCCGAAATAAAAAAATTTAAACGTAGTAATAATCTGTTTATTTGAAAGAAATACAGCTTGAACTAGTCAAAAACTAGTCAAAAACAGAAAAACAAAAACAGGTTTCAGTTCTTCTGATGAAATAAAACAATTAGATGAATAGTTGAAAATGTCCACCTTGCGCCATCGAGCCTTCTTCTCAAAGATTGACGTACACGCTCAAAGATCAGAATTAAAGTCTATTTTTGATTTTGTAACCTTGACTTTGTCTTTATCACTTCGTTTACGGTTATGCGAATGGTAATTCACGTGAAGCAAGGCATATTTATGCAGGAAGATATCTCCAACGCAATTTATCGTTTCGTCAAACATTTGCGAACATTCACTTGTATTTCGGAAACTAAGCCGTTTAGGACACATGTTTATATGGACTCTTTTACTTGAAATAAACCAAAGAATAGCTCTGTTGAGTATGGCAACATAACTAACACCCTGTATATATACACAGGATATTTCCTGTAACTTGATCATTTAAAATAATATTTAAAATAATTTAAGAATAATATTAGAGGAATCACATTGTATAAAAAAAATCATACAATTCCATTTAAAAAAGTGGATGTGATCTTGAAGTCTCAAAAAATATGACCTTGAGAAAAATGTTTTGCTCATCAGGGTTAGGTAATGCTAAGTTAAAAAGATAAAAGTTAAGTTAAAAAGTTAATTAATTTTAACTTAACTTAGTTACATTTTAGATTTTTAACTTTTTAACTTAATTTAGTTACATTTTATCAGTAACTATTAACTTTTAATTTGATTTTTTTTAAATCAATCCTCAAACACAATGCGAGAGGATAATGAGTA